TTATATATATTTCTAGAAATTCTTCCTTTTTTTTAAAGTATATCTTAATAATTCGTTTATAATTTAATTTAATCGCATATATTTTTATTTATTATTTTATTAAATACTTTTTTATAAAACTAAACAAATTTATGTTATACTTAACTCGCTTTTTAAGCTAATATAGAAAATGTAATTCTTTTTATAATTCTTATAATTCTTTTTTAACTTCGTTTTCTTCGAAACCCGTTTCAAGTAAATTATATATATCACATAATATTAAAGTATAATATATATAATTTTTAATAATTACTTTATTACTTTTTTCGAAACTTAAATAAAAATAACATATTTTAAGATATTATAGCCATCGTGAAATGTTATCGCAAATATACTCGTTTTTTTTTATATTATTACTTTCTAGTTTTTAAAAATAATAACTAGCTTTATTCTTAAAACTTCTATATATTTAATAAGCGTTATTAATATAAAAGCTTTAATATAGCGATATATATTTTTATTATAATTCTATTATTCCATTTTTATTAAGTTAAAATATTTCGTTTTCTTATTATTTTACCACCTTTAATTTTAATTTAAATTTTTTACTTAATAACTTATTAAGTTAACTAGTACTATTTAAGTTTTAATAAACATCGTAACTATTATTTATATAAAACTTTTAATATAAGTTATTATGTTTACTTTTTCCTTAATATGTTTCGCACTTATTATTATTATAATAGCTCTAATATAATCCATTATAATTCGACTTAACTTTTAAGTCGTATCTCAACTTATAAATATTATACTTATATAATAATTCGTCTTCGTTATATCCTTACTTAGCTTGTTTTAATATAAAGTACCTTAAATATAAATAATTATATTTTAAATAATCCTTATAATTAACCTAATAATATTTATAACTTTTTATTATAAAGACTTCCTCGTTTTTCTTTACTTTAATAATAGTAATAATAAACACTTAATTTACTTCCTTATTATTTTTGAAATAAACCTTTACTTTGAAAGTTTTTTTCTCGAGTTAAAAAATCCCTTTTATTTTTATTTTTTATTTTTTAGGATTTTAATATTTATTTTTATAATATCTTTTTTTCTTATAATTAAAACATTTAATAATTAATTTGTCTTATTTTTTTACTTTTTTTAAGTAACGTTAATTTTAATAAGGTTTAATTTAGTTTTAATACCTTTCTTTGTTCCGGTACCACTTTTGTGATTTCCTCTTTTTTATTAATCGCCGTTTTTTCGCTATATTGTCTTTTTTTAAGGTACCATTCGAAGTTTTCGTTATTAATAATAATTACTATTATAACGTAATTATTAAACTTTTTTAAGTTCCTTTTTTTATATAGGTTTATTTTATATAACTTATTTTTTATATAGTTCTTTAATTCTTAATAAAATAAATAATATAAACTTTTGATAAATAATTATAATTAACTTATAAGTTTTTTAAACTTAATAACGTAATTTAAAGCCTTTTTATTTTATCGTAATTTATAAAATTAAACTTTAGCTTATTATTTAAGAATTAAATTACTAAATATAAACTTAAATTATTTTTTAAACTCCTTATAATCCTTAAAGATCTTTTTCGTGTCTTTTTAAGCGCTTTATTTATTATTTAAGTAATTTTTTAATATTAATTAAAACCAAGTTAAAGTAGTTTTAATAAGGAGCTAAAATATTATAAAAACCTTTTATTTCTTAATAATAATTATTCCGTAATAAAATTGTAAATAGGTTTCGGCTTAAATTAAAAATCCTTTTAAATCATTTAACCTATTATATTTATTAAGTATAATTAATTTAAAACCTTTTATATTAAGGGTCGTTATATTATTTTCGTCGTTTAAGTTATTAAGGTCGCTATTGTTTAAAAATAGTTCCGATTATTTATTTCTAAAAAGTAAAAGTTATTTTATTTATTTATTTTCTTTTTTTCCTTAAATAATTCTTTTTATTAAGCTTTAAAGGTGTTCTTTTAAGGCTCTTTTTTAATTATAATTATAATTAATTTTTATATTGGTTTTTTTAAACCCTTTTATTATATCGTAAAAAAATCTAAAGCTTTCGTTTAAAAGCTTATTAATTAAAGTTCTTTTATTTATATCTTTTTTATTACCTTTTAATTTTAAGGGGTATACTTATCTTAAAACGGTTTAACCGAGAGTCCCTTCTTTTAAACTAATATTAAGCATTAATTAAAGAACTATTAAAATATAATAAACCTCTTTATATATTCCTAATTAATTTAACTTCACAAATAAATACGTACTAGGTTTTCTTAATTTAAAAATAATAATAAATTAAAATTAATTTAAAAGATTTATAATGCTTTGTTTATTAATAATTAAAGAATTAAAATAAATAACTAAATATATAAGAAATCTTATTTTTTTATACTTATTTTTTTATACTTATTTTTTTATACTTATTTTTTTATCCTTTATTCTTTATAATTAATATATTAAATACCTTTAAATGAGTCTTATTTATACTTATTTATTCTCTACTAAATACTATTAAATAAATCTTATTCACACTTATCTATATCACGTGATAATAGGTCGCCTTCCCCTTCAAGATCTATATCCGAGCCGGACACAAGAAGAGTAAGAATAGTACCCCTGTCACTTGATTGCTTACTCTGGTTAGTTCGTGACAAATTTCTTTCTTTTTAACTCGTTATTATTTTATTAGTTAATAAATTTCTTAGTTCGTTATTTAGCATAATATAAAGCGTAAAGTTTTTTAAGTTAAAATTTTAAAGATAAATAATAAAAATTATATTCACGTAAATTTAATTATTTTAAACGTTATTAATTAAAAAGTACTTTAAACATTTTTAATATATTTATAAATTTACCTACTTAAGGTTTTTATAATAGTATTAACATTTTAAATAAAATCGTTAATTTATTTAACTTTTTTAAAAAACCTTTTAAAAATCTTTAATTTTTTAACTATATTAACAAGTTAATAACAAAGGTTTTTTATTTTAATAAAAATTTCTTTTAAGCGAGCTTTTATAATTTTAACCTATTTTTTTTAATTATATTATAAAATAAGTAATTTAATATTATAAGTTTTCTTATTAATTATATAAATATTAAAAGGCTTATTACACGTGTTTTACTTATTTTTATTATTAATAAATAAGCGCTTTAATATAAAATATTTATATA